CCACCTCCATCTCCACCATCACCACCATCACCATGACCACAGCCACCATCTCCATCACCACCATCACCATCATCATCCCCATCTCCATCCATCACCATCCCACAATCACCACCACAATCAGCATCACCACAAGCATCATCACAAGTGTCATCATCATCACCATTGCTACTATCAGCATCATAATCACAACCAACATCACCATCAAGGTCACCATCACGTATCGCCAGCACCACGGCCGCCACCATCATTACTATCAGCACCACCACCCTCATCACCATCTTGAGCTCCACCATCCTCACCTTGCGGGGGCCTGTGCGAGGCTGGCCCTACCTGGGAAGCAGTGGGAGGTACGGACCGTAACCCAGCTGACTCACTCTGTTGAAGTGCACAATTCAGTGGTTTTCAGGGCATTCAGGGTAGTACAACCGTCACCACCGGCCAACCACAGAACATGTGCACGGCCCCGTGCCCATCAGCAGTCACTCCCGATCCCCTCCCAGCCCCTGCAACCATGGATCCACACTCTGTCCCTGTGCCGGCCCGCGCTGGCCATTTCGCAGAGATGGACGCACAGAACAGGCGACTTTTACACTCAGGCTTCTACTCAGCACGCTTTTAACATCCACCCACTTGTAAGTTCGCTTCCATAGCTGAACAGACACACTAGTTTCTGCCTGTCCACTTGTCCACTGACGGGGGCATCATCTCTTTTAATCCTCCCACCCATGCCAGAGGTTAGAGACCTTACAGACGAAGAAAGTCAGCTTTATTTCTCTCTCTTTCTCTCTGTTTTTTTTTTTTTTTGTCCTTTTGAGATAGGGTCTCACTATGCAGTTCATACTGGCCTTGGACTTGCTTTGTAACCCAGGCCGGCCTTGAACTCACAATGATCCTCCTGCCTCAGCCTGAGATTACAGGTGTGCAACACCATGTCCGGTGGGAAGTCAGCTTTAGCTCAAGCCAATAGTTTCCACCCATTTCACAGAATAGGAAACTGAGGCCCTGAGAGCCTGGCTATGGGGCATGCAGGACCTTTACCCCAGAAGGCCTTCATGAAGGCTTTGGCAGCACTGCCAGGACAGATGGGCCCCACTAGGACCTGATGCACTGCAAGTGTTAACCCTAAAGGCAAAACCCTGAAGGCAGGTAAGATATTTTGCACTGAACACAACTCTCCTGTTTGGTACAAGTACACTTCACACCAACCCCTGAGAATCCTACATCTGAGTGGAGACGTGCTCTAACTGTGAACTAAAGCCCAGGTTCTGAAGATTTAGCATAACCAAAAGACAGAAGATATCTCATCAGTATTTCACATCAATTACATGTTGAAATTGTAACAGTTTATATACATTAAAATGTTATTTCAAAAAAATAAAACAGCTGAGCATGGTGGTGCATGCCTGTCATTTCAGCACCCTGGGAGGCTGAGGCAGGAGAATCACAAGTTTGAACCCAGCCTGAGTAATTTAGTGACTTAGTGAGACCTTGTCTCAAGATTTAAGAAGGATTAAACCAGGCATGGTGGCGCATACGTGTCATCCCAGCACCTGGGAGGCTGAGGCAGGAGGGTCACCTCGAGTTCAAGATGAGCCTCGAGTTCAAGCGAGACCCTGTCTGAAAACAAACAAATAAAAAGAACTGCTGCGCACTCCCTCACCTCCACTTGTCTCCTACGGTACCACCCTCAGCCCTGCCCACCTCCCCCAACCACAGGGCACAGTCACAGTTGTCACCACGGCCACAACTCCCCTTAAACAGGGTATGCTTGTTCAGTGTGGAAACTGAGCTCTCAAGCCATACAGAGCGGGCAGGGGCCTCAAACGGCATCACTAGGTGACAGCAGACAATAGAAAGGCTGCCTGTGACAGGCTCTGGCACCAGGACATTCAGGAAGCGTCCGGCTGTGGGGCAGTGACAAGATCCAGGGGCGAGGGCCAGGCGGAGCACGGAGCCTGTGGGCAGCTGTGCGCCGCTATGGTGGTGGATGCCTGTCACCAACCCTTGTCCAAGACACAAGTGTGAGCTCGACTGTGAGCTCCAAGTGCGTCTGTGCAAGCTCCTTAAATGGAAAAACAGCCACAATCCCAGCCCTGGGAGGCAGAGGCAGGAGGACTCCAAGTTTGAGGCCAGCCTAGACTATGTAGCGAGACCCTGTCTCAGAAAAAACCCACATCATTAGTCGGGATGGTGGCACACACCTGTAATCCCTGTACTCAGAAGGCTGAGGCAGGGGGGATCACTGTGAGTTTGAGACCAGCCTGGGCTACAAAGTGAAGAAAGTGAGCTGAAGGCTAGCCTAAACCACATAGCGAAACCCTATCTCAAAATGACAGAAAAAAAAATATCACCCTGGTGGGTTACTCCTGTGCCTTCTTAATCCTCTGTTCTACAAAATTAAGTCTCTTAAAAATCCTAATAAGCAAGAAACCTGGAGTCAGGCAAATGGCACCGCAGTGACTCCGCATCCTTCCCTGGGCCCTCCCAGTCCAGGCTGCCCTGCGTCCCATCGGCCCCCGCTTCCTCTCCCTCTCCGCATCTTTCTGAGTCCCTTTCTCTGCGGACACAAAGAGCCACTCAGAAGCACAGCGGCCAGGGCAGCGAGCCACGGCCTCACGGGCAGGCAGGGAGCAGGCACGTCACAGCCCTGGGCCGGGGCCCAGCCCACACCTGCTCCGAGCACGGAGCTCCCTGGGACAGCCGGGCCACACCACGCTCAGCCGGAAGCAGCGTGCGCCGAGAAGCAGCTGTGGAGTTTCACTAAGGCAGTGGCAGGGTGGTTCATTTTTCCTGGCTGGTCTCAGTGGCTTTCTGGATGCAGCCACTCCGCGAGGCCACCCAAGCAGCCCGTGGCTCCTCCCCAGCACCCCGGAGAAGACACAGCCAGGCAGGTCCCCAGCACAACTTCAGGATGGCCGTGGAGCACCGTCGAGGCACAGCCTTCACGCGGCTCAGCACGACTCCTGCAGGGGCAGTGGCAGCCACAGAGCAGGGACGCAAGAGCCATGCCCAATCCTGACCCAGAGGGACAGCAAGAGACCAGATGTCACCTCGGCAGAGGGGACACATGTGCACAACAGCCCATGGGTCTGTGTCCAGCTGCAGGCACGCATGGTGGGAGGGGGCAACATGCTTCCCACCACACATGCACCCAGGCACACACGCCACACACACACACACCCCATATACACCGTGCCTGCAGCACACACCCTACACCACACACACACCAACACCACACCCACTCCACACCACACACACCAGACACAGGCACACACAACACGCACACCGTGCCACAATACACACGCCACACCATACACATGCACCAGACACACAACACCTCTATACAGCCACAACACCATGCACCCCACACTCACCCCACAGCCCTCACGCACCTGTGCCTCCACGGCTATTAAGACCTCAGGAAGCAGAAACGTAACCCAGTGGTCCCTCTGAGAAAGGGGCCAAGCAGCCTGGGGACACCGCCCCTGCATCTTGTACCTGTGGTCCTGTGGGCCACGTGACCATCTGATGGCCCCTCATACCACATTCACTTACTTCTTCTTTTTTTTTGATGAAAGCTGCTACTAGAAAAAAACTGCCCACTCCCACACCCTGCTCTGGCTCCCCCAGCGGCCCGAGTTGCTCTCCATGCATGGTGAGCCGCCCACCTGTCTGTCCTTCCCTGGGCCCTCCTGCGTCCCACCTGACAAGGACAGGCCACTGGAAAGCGGGCACAGGACCGGGCTTAGAGCAGAAAACGGGGTGTCACCATGTGACCCCGCAGCCCCTCCCAGTGCCGGGCCAGGGAAGTGGGAGCCTCCCCCTCGCCTGCACACGGCTCCAGGCCATAACAGCCAGCGCTGAAAGAACCCAGGCTGCGAGGGACGATAAACAAAATGTGTGGAATCTACACAGTGCAAAGCCGCTCAGCCATACAAAGGGACAAGGTACAGACGCGAGCTGCACAAGGATGAGCCTGCGCCCTGTGAAGAAACCCAGACCCAAAGCCCCGCAGGCAACACTCTGTTTATACAGAATGTCCTCGGAGAGGGATGCTGACACAAGGGCCGCAGGGAGCGTAGGGCGAGGCAGAGGAGGCTGCTTACTGCGTATGTGCGCTCGTGCAGGCGAAAAAAGTCTTTGGGAACAGACCAAAGCGGACTAAAGAGCTGGGGATGTAGCTCAGCGGCATAGCGCCTGCCTGGCAAGCGTGAGGTCCTGAGTTCAATTCCCAGTACCACACACAAAAAAGAGGACCAAGTCGTAAGTTCAAAAAGGATGAATTTGGGGCTTGTGAATTTTGCTCCAAGCTGTTTCACGTCCCAGCACTGGAAAGGGCGAGGCAGGAGGACTGCCACAGGTTCAAGGCCCGCCTGGCCTACACAGTGGGACTGCATAATGAGACTGTGTTTCCAAAGAAGAGGGAAAAAAGCTGCTCAGTGGACGGCACTGTGTGTGCTGGCGGGGCCTCCCAGCCTGGCCCCTCCTGGGTAGAGGGGACACGACGGTCCCGACCTCAGTGGGTATGCGTGAGGACAGGACACGCACCCAGGACACTGGCTTTCAACTGCACGGGGAGGGGGACACACAGGCCACTACACGGACCCAGCCCACCCAGGTCTCTATGCACACTTCCATTTCCTAATACTGATGATGAACGCGTGCCCCTGCCCAGCCTGTTGGAGGGACGCGTTCATGCGGGGCCGTGGGGGCTCCGACCTAGGGACGCTGTGGTGTGTGCACATCTCTGGTTGCCCTGATAGTGCTACGGGGTCCACAGAGGGTAGAGGCCAGGGAAGCAGCACAGCATCCCACCGGGCACAGGACGGTCCCAGGCTGAGAAGGAACTGGCCCCAAGAGGGACAGGGCCAGGCATGGTGGCGCACTCCTGTAACCCCAGCACTCAGGAGGCTGAGGCAGGAGGATCACCATGAGTTCTAGGCCAGTTTGGGCTATGCAGGAGTTCAAGGCCAGCCTGAAGTACAAAGTGAGAGCCTGTCCTGAACAACAATGGGCAAGGTGCTGAGGCGAGACCGCAGCAGCATCAGCTGCGCCCTCCCCACCTCACCCCCCAGCACAGGGAATTGAGGGCCGAATGGGTGCAGCAGGACCCACCCCAGGACAGCCCTGCCCCAGCCCGCGGGCCGGGGGACACTCACAGGAGATGGCGAAGAGGGCCTTGACGCGGACGGTGTCGCAGGCGTCGCGGTCCAGGAGCCGCAGCAGCTTGCGCAGGGCGCCGAGGCCCAGCACCTGCTCCTGGATGGCTGCCACGTTCTGGCTGCACGTGCCGATGAGCTGTGCCGCGCGCCACCGCAGCCCCGCGGCGCCCGCCTCCAGGTAGCGCCCCACCAGCAGGTGCATGCCCGACAGCTGGCAGAAGTCTGTGCCGAGCACGTGCAGGGAAAAGGGCAGGGTCAGGGCTGTGCTTTGCCCCGCCCCCACTCCCCCAGCCACTGCTGTCCCAATGCCCAGGCCCTCGGGGGGCAGGGGGGGTGGCAGCGTGACAGGCACGGGGTCCCACTGTCCCACTGCGGGTGACGGAGCTCTCAGGCGGTGGCCGTGCAACACAACGAATAAACCAAACGCTTCGGGACTGTCCACTGGGAATGGTTAACGCTATGTTACAGGGACTTTACCTCAATAAATAATAGGTAGGGTGAACACCCAGGTGAGAGAATATCCCTGCACCCCATCTTCACCAGCACTGTGTTTCCTTATTGAGAAGAAGATAAGCCGGGCGCGCTGGCACACGCCTGTCACCCCGGCACTCCACAGGCTGAGGCAGGAGGATCACTAGCTCGAGCCCAGCCTGGGCCACTTAGTGACTCAAGGAGACCCCGTCTCAGAATAAACAATAAAAAGGGCTGGGCAGGCAGCTCAGTGCACTCTCCAACACAGCAAAAAATAAAATAAAAACGTAACCCGCTGTGCACTGGGCAGGGATGCCCTGCCCGGACAGTGTGGGGACACTGGTGTCCTCACGATGCGCTGAGCTCTGAGTGTGCTCCTAGCGCTCCGGACACTGCCCATGCTGGGTCTGTCCCGCCTCTGGAGTTGTGCAGGTGGAGATCCACGCGGTCCCGACATCTCCTCCTCAAGGCCCGCGGATACAGGAGGTAACTGAACCTGCCCACGTCCACAGTGCCACGGAGCAGCACAGCCTGGGCTGTGCACCACGGAAGTGACCCCTACTGTTTGGCAGAAGTGGGGTCCCACAGGCCCGGCTGCGTGGAGAGTGAGCCCCACAATGTGGCCCTGAGAGCTCCCTGTCCTTTCAAACCCCTGGGCAGAGCCTCTCGGTCTCCACGGCCTTCCTGCCGTTTCTTCCACCTCAAGACCCTAAACGCCTCCTCCCTGCTGCTGGAAGGCACTTCCCAGAGAGAATCCCGTGACTCCACCTCCATTTCGGGTCTCTGACCAGATGCTACCTCATCAGCCTGTCCCTCAGGAGATGCCCCTGGCCACCTCCTGTCCCATACACCAGGGAGCAGCAGGGCAGGCCTGGCAGCCTAGCGGGGGAATGATCAGCCAGGGCTCACTGGGAAGGGGTGGACCACAGCGGTCACCAGGGGCTCAAGCGCAACATGGGGCAGGCTGGCGGCTGGGAGGGCTGGAAAGGCAGAGGGGACAGAGCAAGGGATACCTGCAGCATTGTCCATGTTCTCACACAGGTCGGCCAGCAGCTCCAGGGCCCCCTCACGCTCCTGCTGGTCAGCGGCCACTTCGGCTTCCCCGGCCGCAGCAGGTGTGGGCTGGGACAGCACCCGGAGGCAGCTCTTCATCTGCTCCACCTCTTCCCGCTGGCCCCGGAAGGCAGCCGACATGGCCTCCTGCAGCCACTGCCGCCTCTGGGGATGAGGGTGGGAAAGAAGGCATGGACCAGTAATTCATTAGGGAGTAATAAATGACACCTGTAGCACGGTAAGGCACACCTGTCATCCCAGCACTCAGGAGGCTGAGGCAGGAGGGTCACAAAGAGTTCGAGGCCAGCCTGGGCTACATAGTGAGTTCAAGGGCAGCCTGGACTACATAACTCGACCTGTCTCAACGAGACAAAACTAACAACAGTAATGATGATGATGACGACAGCCAACATGGGAGAGCTCACTGTTCTTTCCACCTACAAGTATCTCCAGACCACCTTTTTCTACTCAGCGTCTTCTCTGGCCCTGAGCCGGCCGAGCCCAGTGTCGGGAGGGCAAACAACAGAGACAAGCATAGCATGCAGTCAGTCTGTGACACGACAAGACGACAGGCAAGGTGAGCCAGGGCGGAGGACGGGGACAGCGGAGGCGGGCTGCAGGATTTCACGGTGTTTGAAGGACCACATGTGAGCAAAGAAATACCTGGGAGGGGAGCTGGGTGTGGTGATGCACACCTGCATCCCAGCTACTGGGGAGACCCGGTCTCAAAACGAAAAACAAAAAGGGCTGAAAGTGTAGCTCAGTGCTAAGAGTTGCTGGGTTTGCTCCCCGGTACCACCACCACAAAATTATATATAACAAAGTTTGCTTTCAACCTTCGAAAGGTCTCATTGCTCACAGATGAGAAAACAGGCACGGAAAAATTGTGCTGCTGCCCGAGGCAAGGTCACAGAGTCAGCAACTGGCAGAGCCAAAAGTCAAACAGATATGTGTGGGCAAGTGTGCACCCCTGCTGAACTGGAACCTCAGAAGCGCCCCATGAAGTTCTGTCATTACTATTCTTATCACAAATGAATGAACAATTTGAGGTTCTGAGGAGTTAATATACCCAAGGTCACACTGCTAGCTATGGCTGAATCCAGCTCTGGAGAGCTTTTTTTTAAACCACAAAACTCTCCTGCCTCCCCCAAACACTGCTGGGCTCCAGGAATCTGTCCCCTCGGATACTTGACGTCTGACCTTTCGTCTTCAGCGAACCTGTCCAGCACAAATACAGTCTACCGGGCCTCCACACCTGCCCACCCCCGCCCCGGTCTCCAGCTCCACGAGCCACACTTCCCCGGGCACCCCTGTCCCCAGGCCCCTCACCCCAGCTTCCTGGTCTCCGAACTCTATTTACCTCCTCACTCATGGGCTCTGGAGGGGGGTCTGGCTCCACGGAGCCCGCCGTGATGGCCATCTGCAGCAGGCCTTGCAGGTTGCGGGGGAGCCGGGGGTTGCCCGAGTTCTCAGCCGAGGAGCTGCCGCTGCTCCCTGAGGAGCAACCCTGGGAGGCTGGGGGCAGCGCCAGGGGCAGGCGACTCCCCCCCGAGCCTTTGTCTGCCATAGGTAGGTTGTGAAGGGAAGAACGTGTTGAGGGGTAGAGCGGGGAAGGTGATCGGCGCTGAGGCAGCTCTGGCGTCCTGATGGGTCGATTCCTGGGGGTCTGCTGAGAAGGGGGCGCTTTAAGGAAGCTCTGTGCCCTCCATGACCCCAAGCCATTCTTCCCGCACCCCCCTTCAACACAGCCCCCATTCCTTCCCCCGTACCAATAGGACCCTTGTCCAAAGCCACAGCCCCTTCTTCCGCCCTAAGAACGGGCCCCACCCACCGTCCCTGGCAACAAGCCCTCGTCCCATCTCCACTGCGCGCGTCTCCGTTTCTTAGCAACCCCACTGCCCCGCCTCCTTTGCAATAAATCTGCCCTTCTGTCTCCTTAACAGCAAGTCGGCTCCCTCCTCTCCGAAGAGGAGCGCCTGAAAGAGGCCGATCTCACCTTCCCGGGCCTCGAGATGCAGCCGCACCTACAGACAGAGTCTCCCGCACCTGACTCTGCTGGGCGTCGCCATTTTAACCGGAAATGCGTACAACCTCACCCGGAAGTCCCTGACGCACCCCCCCCCCGCAACCTCGCGGTAGGAACTCAGGACCATGCGCTTGCCAGGCAGGCGCATATGCCACTGAGCTATATTCCCAGCCCAAGGCTGAAGCGGGTTTAAACCCTTCCCTTGGGCGGTAGCCCGCAATCGGCTCTTACATCCCAGTCAGGCCCCGCCTCCTCCTTGACCCCGCCCCCTTATAGTCAAATTCCTAGTCTAGGTCCCGCCCCTCCAGCCCACTTTGCTCACCTTAGCGAGCCCCGCCTCCTTATTCTTATGCAAGCTCCACCCCTTGCCCCCACATAGGTCCCATTCATACCTCCTGGTCGCCGCCCCTGTTCTAGGCCTTTCGGCCCCTCCCAGTTAAGCCCCGCCTTCTCCTAAGCCCTGCCCCAAAGCTGGAGCGCCCGTGTCTTCCACCAGGCCACGCCCTTTACGCCCCCCCCACCCCCCGCAAGGCCGCAGCCCCTTAGCTGCTTCACTTACGTTTGGTCCGTGCTTTCCGGCAGGTTGGGTCCCTGTCCCGGTACAGTGTCTTTATTCCCACTTTCTCCTGGAGCCCTGGGGTTGCACTCCTAATAGCTGACCTGTGCAGGCTGAGGTCCAGCCCCACCTAACTCCCGGCCTCAGTTTCCCCATTCGTCATATGGCGTCAAGTGTAGTGGTTTCCCTCTGTCTCCAGGTGGAAAGGAGGCCATTCTGGAGGTCGCAGCCAGGACGCACAGCGCCTGAGTCGGGGCTCAGAGCACCACAGGGACGAGGCTGCTGGGAGGTCTTAGTCCTAGGGTGCTTAGTCTGCGGGGCTGTTTGCACCGGTCTAGGCTTAAGAAAGCGGTTATCAGTGTGGACGGGGGCCCTTTCGCTCAGGAATGGGGCGTCACAGAGGGAGGCGCGGAGCACCTCATGGCCTTGGCTGTGTAGGTCTCGGTTTGACGGGGTGGGCCCAGGACAAGTGCGCCATGGACAGCTGAGGCTGTGGGAATTCTGTCATACTAGTTTCCTGTTGCTGCTGTGAAGAAACTTCCGCCGGGCGTGGTGGCGCACGCCTGTCATCCCAGCACTTGGGAGGCTGAGGCAGGAGGATCGTTGCGAGTTAGAGGCCAACCTGGGCTACAAAGTGAGCTCAAGGCCAGCCTGAGCTGCATATCGAGACCCTGTCTCAAAAAAAAAAAAAAAAAAAAAGAAAAGAAAAGAAAAAGAAAAAGAAACTACCAAAACTCTACGGTTTAAAACAACACACATTTATTATCTTGCCGTGCTGGAGGACAGAAGTCCAAAGTGGGTGTCCCTGGGCGAAAGCCAGGGTTCCTTCTGAGGCTGCCAGGGAGAATGAGTTCTCTCTGCCTTTTCCAGCTGCTGGAAGCCACTTTCATTCCTCAGCTGCAGCCACATCGCTGACCTCTGCTTCCATCTCCTCACCTCTCTCCGTGACTGTGACCCTCATCCTTCTTCGTGCCTCTTGGGAGGACCTCAGAAGACTTGGGCCCACCCAGAAATCAGGGTGCTCCCCCAGCTCAAGATCCCTAATCCCATCAGCAAAGTTTGGGGAATTAGGATGTGGACACCTGCTATAATCTACATAATTATGTATCTCACTTATGATACAACATGCAATTGTATAGGATACAACTTCTTATAATGTGAATGTATAAATAATACACTGGTAGCCTAGACGAACTCTCCCATGTACCCTAGAAAAGCCATCAACTTTACAAAGACATGTAAAAAGTGTGACTGTAAAACTTTCCATCTGCAACGAGACATTTCAGAGCAAATGGAGGTCCCATTAACAATTACACAAACCAGGCACGGTGGCTTGTACCTGTAATCCCAGATACTTGGGAGGCTGAGGCAGGAGGGCACAAGTTTAAGGCCAGCCTGGGCAACTCAGCAAGACCCTATCTGAAAATTTAAAAAAAAAAAAAAGAAAATTGGCTCAGTGGTAGAGCACTTGCCTAGCCTGCGCAAGGCCCTGGGTTCAATTCCCAGCGCTGCAGAAAAAAAAAGGTCATGGGATGAGGGTGATTGAATAGACTTGAACAGACCGAAGAAGCCAAGGCTTATGGGTACACCCCACAGGGGCTGAGGATTAGAAAGGGGCCGGCCACCTCTGGGGCCCTGGCAGAGAGGAGCTTGTAGGTTACGTGGGAACCCAGTGGAGCCCAGGGTTACCCATGGTTGAGCGCATGTGATGTCTGGAGGGACGCGTGGATTACACTGGCGCCCGCACAAAGATTTCAGGGCCTACTAACAAGCACTGAACACATGAGGGTCTAAGGGAACAGATGGGATCTCGGGGAACTCTGGAGGTTTCTCTGCGTGTGCAGGAGAATCTCACATCTCCAGCCCTGGCGCTGATGGGGACACAGAGAGATGAGTCTGGGGCCAGCGATTCCGAAATCTTCCTCTGCCTCCACCCCTAAATGTGCCCACGTTTCGCCCCAGCCCCTCCACACGTGTGCCCCGCTATCCATCAGCCCCACCTGCACGGGGCTGCGTGTCCCTCTCCGGGGCTCTCTCCTGCCATGCCAGGTCCTCCTCCATGTTTGCTCCCATCCCTGCCTGGCCCTCGCTCTCACCGCCTCCCTGTGCCCTGGCTCTGTGTCCCTTCAGCTCTGTCCACCCTGCCCTGCCTGCCCGTGCCTCTGCTGGGCAGCGCCTCCCGGCCTCCCCAGGCTCAGGCTGCGCTTCTGCTGCCCGCTTCACCTCTGCCCATCTGCTGGCTCCAGATCTCCCCGCATCCTGCCCGCGTCGCGTCCCTTCCCCTGCACTCTCCTCCTCCTGCACCCTCTTCCCCACGCACCCCTCCCCCTCCGCATGCACCCCTGGCACCCTCCCTCCTCCACCGTCTCTCGCTCCCGCATCCCCCACCGCTCCCAGCATCTTCCTACCATCCCTCCACCCCTCCAGCGCCTAGCGCCGCCCCTCTTGGGCCCGCTCCTGGCCCCCCCTCCCCCTCCCCCTCCCCCTCGGAAAGGGTTAACTTTGGGGAAGGGCCCGGAGTCCCCGGATGGTGATGTCAGCGTGCCGGAGAGAAAGGACGAGGTGGCGGGGGGAGGCGGAGAGGAGGAGGAGGCGGAGGAGCGAGGGCGCGTGGGGGGGCGGGGGACCTCGGCCTGCAGCATCCGCGGCCCGCAGCTCAGACCACCCCCCGCCGGGGGAGGCGCAGGAAGGGGGGGTCCGGCCAGGGGCGGGCTGGGGAGGGGGGGCCGCGCAGCCCCCCCGGCCATGCTGACTCCCGGGGCCTGACCCCCCCCGGGACAGCCCCCCCTCCCCCAGCTCCGCGGCCCGCCGCCGGGGGGGCCCAGAGCATCCCCCTGGGGACCCCCGGAGAGG